GATGCTCACTGAGCTGAGTTGAACTTGTGGGAATACATCATACTTTGAGTTCACGTGTTACAGGAGTCCTGCCTACTTTTAACCATTTAACTCCCAAGATCTCATTGTTAATCCTCCCCTTTAGATGCTACACATTTCCTTGTAAATTAGTTAAGAGAATTTGGTGTTAGATTAAGACAACAACTTCTACCTGATAAGTTTGAGTGTTCTTACTACCAATTCTCTATAACCAATCTCTTATCCAACAAGCACAGGCAGAAAAATTGTGTTATTAAATTTCATTAAAATCCTAAACGTTTGGAGCTTTCTAAAGCCAAATTTTCAGCTTGTTGCAAATGAATGCATTTTCATATAAGGTGACTCAGAATATGAGCTAATGACTGGAATTGCGTGAACCAATCAGAATACTAGAAATGCAATACTTGAAGTTGAAAATTTAATAATTTTACTTGGTAGATAAATAATTTTCTTGGAGTGAAAAGCTTGGGATCAGGACATTTCCTTACTCAACAGGGCATCTATATTATATAAAATCAATAGTGTGTGTCCCCTTCAAGATGTTGTAGATCAATTTAACAGCATACCTATATATTCAAATTCCTCCTTCAAGGCCATTCCATTGTGAGAGTGGCATTGACTGCATATCAGAGCATATCTGTTATTTGGTCCATCACCAACAAGATATTCCACCAACTAAAAGCAAAAAAAGTTCCATTGTGTAAGCCATTGTTAACCCCTGAGAGTGACCAGCAACTAATTTCTCCCAACAGCATTCCCCCTGAACATTGCCACTGCAGGCATCTAAAGTTTTCTTTTTTTTTTTTTTTAAAGGGCAATTTTCAAGCTAAATGCTTTTGCATTATACATGATTTTGAATTTTATGAAATTTCATATATCAATTTTTGTCAATTGTATCAATTGTAATCTTGAATTGTGAGTAAAGTTATTATCAATCACATATTCCCCCTGAATCAAACAACAAGGTCACATGAATTAAGGGAATGATCACAAATTCAAGAAGCTCTTGCTTTGTTAAGCAAATCCTTCTTTTCAGTTCCTAATGAAATATATAGAGAACAGTATCGAGAATATGGATACTGATGTTAGGGTGTAAAGGATGAAGACTGAATATTGCATTAAATAATTAAAACAGACAAAGAGGCTTAAAGCATGGAGTTAGATGATCAAAATTACTTTATCCATAGCTGTTCTCTCTCGTGGTAAGATTGGCTGAGCAGGTCTCGGCATGGGACCTGGTGAGGCTATTCTGCGGGGCGTACCAGGGGGCAATGGAGATGCTGCACCTGGGAGGTCAAAGGGTAACAGTGAACGTCAGTTCTTATTCAAGGGATGCAAAAGAGAAAAGGAAGGTCACCAGGAAATGATTGATATTGCTTATTATGATTGTTTACAAACAGTTCATCACAGAGAGGTTTGTAATGAATTCTGCAAAGCGCAAGACTAACCTGATGAGTTTGAAGGAATATTCATGAGGCTGTTGGATTTCTTTGGCTCTATTGCCTTCTGATTTGTCTGTTTGCTATCCCCTGATTGGTTCATCTGGCCTGGAGACTCTGCTAGAGAGGGCTCAGAGATGGTGCGCTGTAATGGAGCCCCTGGACTTTCAACCTTACCCAGGGCATTCCTCTGTCTTAATTCTGGGGGAAAAAAGTCCTCATCACAAAGAATTTTGGATCAATATCAGTATCTGGGCAACTGCCCACCTACCCCTCCCCTAACCCAACAACAGTCTATTGATAACAAGTTAGGGTTAATGTTGGGTTAGGGGAGGGGTAGGTGGGCAGTTGCCCAGATACAGATATTGATCCAGAATTTTTAACCCACTGTACCCAAAAAGGGACTGGCTTCTAAACGCTCCTTGCTTTATTACTCTTGAATCAAATATAAAAGTCATGAGAACAAGGAAATGATCACCAATTCAAGAAGCTCCTGATTTTCAAACAAATTCTCCTTTTCAGTGACAGAAGAATCATTAGAAATATAAAGAGAACAGTAAGGAGAATAAGAACATTAATATTTGGATGTAAAAGATTAAGGTAACCCATTACCACTCTAGTTTGTCCAACAGAGCTTCACTTCAAAGTTTTTTAGTTCAAAGAAAGAAGAACACCCAAGTCCCACTCTTTGGTTTCCCTAAATTTATAAACAGTTAATGCTTGATTTAGCACCCAGAGCTGAGACAGGGGGTACTTGTTATTCAAGGGGCAGTGCATGTTTAATTAAAGAGAGGTGCTTTTTCAAATTTTCCAAAATGATGTCCCAATATAAACCTATTTTGTACTATGACATTTGCATTTAAACAATGTAAATGGTAAATATCTTGATTAACAAAGCTGATGCTCAACAAGATCACACTTTGTACTTGAAGTTATTTTTCAAACCTTAGCAAGTTCAAAAACTGAAAAGAGGATACCATAAATGTGGTAATTGAAGACTGCAGTAGAGCACCTGACTATGTTGCCAAACAGGATCACTCGCCAACAAAAATGGATAAGAGGACACTTATTCCAGGAAGGAGGGGAGGGGGGCAATCATTCTAAATTAGCTGACAAGGGGAGGGTATGTTTATTTGTTTATTTGTGGGGGGGGGGGGGGGGGGGAAAGCAGATATTTTACATTTACATTTTACATTTTACAGAAGCAGTTTTTTAAATAGCCCACACTCAAATCAAGAACCCTATCCAGCCAAAGCTTATCTTGGTTTCTGTAAGCATAAAGCCAGTACACATTTTAACCCCTGGGTGGAAAGAGGCTGAGAGAGTAGAGTCTTGCTGAAAAAAGAGAAAAAAAAAAAAAAGAAAGAAAGAAATGACCTGGCCAGGTCTTGAACCTTGAACCTCATAACACAGAGTCTAGGGGCCCATTTCTTAAAGGTGCTGGTAAAGCAGTTCTGCTTTCATTCAAGATGGGAGTTTAAAAAGTTTTGAGAATTATACAACGAAAACTATTAGCTGAAGAAACAAAACGGACTGGTTAAGGTGTCAGAGCCTGCTTCTCTATTATTTAACTTTCGATTTTAAAATATGGCTTCCGGCCAGTTAAGTTACAAGGACTTTCAAGAAATGGACCCCAGACCCCTGACAGTTAGGCCACCACCTCTCTCACCCAGATTCAATGGGAAGGTGTTAATCTAAAGATCTTCGGTGCTAATTCTAACCTGTTCCCATTGAGCCACTTGGACTCTGCACACTGTGTGTAGGAGTTGAAATAGGTGTCTCTTTTCTTTCCACCTGAACAAAAGAACAATAAGTAAAGGCAACAGGCCATTTTACAGGTGTGTACATAGAAGCCAAGCCTTTGAGTTGGAATGAGGCTGAAGGTGACCTTCTTGTCATAGAGACTGGTATCTAGTTACCATCATTGATAAAAAAGCAATTTACATTAGAAAAGCAGCAAGGTTTGTATCAAAACAAGGTCACCCTTAGCCTCACTCCTGTTAAAAGGCTTGGCAACCAAGCATGTAACTGTAAAATGGACTATTTACATGATACAATTTTTTTGCTTGTGATGAATCCATGCTCTAACGTGGTCTCAATACAAATCACATTGTGTGATTCATACCTACATCAACTCTGCAACAGTCATATACAAAGTCGAAAATGCAACAGGTGGACAGAGCTAGTTGCACTTACAGAGTTAAGATGACCTCTCTCTGTGGTGGATCAAAATTTGTTACTTTTTAACCCCAATTATCTCATTTGTTCCCTTCAAAATGGTATTGAAATAATTTCTAGTTATTCCTCACAATGTTTTTTTGTTACTTATAGGCAGATAAAGCAAAACATAATGTGTTAACAGTATTGTCAGAAAAATTATGACAACTTGTTGAAAAACAAATCAGGCATTTTTTTTTTTTTTTGCAATACTAAGACTGACACTTTGTTACAGTTACAACACAATTTTATCTTAATACCACGATGAAACACTTCAATTACCTTGACTACTTCAGAATTGGGGTCATATTTAGCCAGCAAATCTTTAGCTGCTTTGTAAGTCTCTTTTTCCATCACTTCCTCAAGCTAAAAATTCACACAAATAAGCAATGTAGTAAAAAAAATAAGTTGTAATTAACTAAAAAGGCCTAGAAAATAAAGACCAAAGGTAAACAAAAGCCATATCCTCAGATTATATTCAAAAGTAATATAAAAACATTTCCATTTTACTTACAACTTGTCTCTTCTTGTCCTTTAACTCTTCCAGCCTTCTTTCTGAAAATAAAAAAAAAATACAAACTAAATGAGTTTTCCACTACTACTACACACTACGACAGAACCCGATGGAGGACGGAAGTGGTTAATGGCCTTTGCCCCAATCGGAGCTAAGGGAATATATATATATATACTACACACTACTATTCAGTAAGACCCTCTGTTTGATAATTTTTAAGAGACCAGGGAATACAACCATGGTTTTCAGAAATACATTTACAACATGCTCCTTTTTAAGCTATCTTTCAGATTCAATGTAAAAAGATCATGACTGCATAGTAAGGAATATATTAGGTATAGAGTAGACACTGTATACTTTCCTAAGGAACAAAAAGTATTTTCAAAGCTTAAAATACACTAGACATAAAAACAGTCAGGTTCCTTACCATTCTTACTAATTCTTTGAACAAAAAAGTAATGAAGCACTCTCTTCAATAAATACACTCTGGAAAAAAAGAGGGGGCATGTTTTAAGGTTTAACAGTCACATGACAGTTTAGCAAACATGGTTGGAATACCCTTGGAGAGGGTTCTTACTGTGCACTTCACACAGTAACTAGACTGACTGAACACAAGGGAGTAATGAGGAAACATGATGTCAACAATCACTTCACTAGGACTCTGAGCAATGCCTAACCTACAGCACCAACTACTTTCAACAACTGACTCTGGAAAGCTGAATTACTAACTAAGAACAGACCTCCTCAACCACTACTGCCACCATACAAACAACTCATTTACGTTACATTAACATTACAAATGAACCAAACAGAATGACCTTACTTTACTAACAGATCAAGACCCACCAATCACGACCAACCTATGCCACTTGAGTCTTGCAGCCAACAACATCACAGCAGAACTGACCAATCAGTTTATACAAACTGGACTTAGAACATCCAATTGACAACAACTATTCCCTTGACTCTGATGATGACTTCCGCTCAGGTAGTTGAAATGTTAGTCACCACTACCAACAACAGTCCTTCTCAGGACTACACTCACCCAGATGATCAAAGCACACTATGACATTTTCCCGGGGTTCAAACCATTTACTGCAACACCATAACTGGTTGACGTGGATGTTCAGATAAAGTGTTGATACTCACACAAAAGGAAATACAAGGAGTGGAATTGATCGCACAATTTTAGCTTTCCAAGACTTTGGAAAGTCATAGAAGTAGCACACAAGAGCAGCTAAAATGTACATCACAACTGAGTACAGGATCAGAGAACCAATAAATTTCTTCCTGAGGTTTTCCGTTCTTTGCTGACTGGACTGCAATGCTTTGATATCCTGAGAAGAGATAGAAGAAATGAATATCACAGGAATTTCAGAAGGTTTTGAAATATATAGACAGGTAAAAATAAAGAACTGACTCATTGTTTTGGTAATATTGTGACACCATTGCCAATGTAACTAAGGCAAAACATCTGATGCATTCATGAAGTTGAATGCTCCATGATTGCAAGAAATTGTAGGAATACTTTTGGCTGTATGGAATCTAATTGCACACTGAAGCTTATTAAAAATTGCCTAATAAGGACAATGTTTCCATATCAAGCAATCAAAATTGTTAACACAAATTTCATTTCTAATTTGACCTATTTTATTTTTTTCAACCATAGAATAATAGCATCGTGTGTCAGTTATAAGACGCCTATGGAAATCATTATTATTCTTCAGAGTTAGCAGTACAAACTCCTCCCAAAAACATTAAAGGCAATAATTAATTATTCAATAAAACAAAATTATTCATGTTAGTTTTCTTGTAAGGTGCCAAATAAGTCATTTTGTTATGTTATCTTTAAAAGAGCCTCTGCTTGTTCCAAAATTTCTTCCAGTGTTAACTGAAGAAAGATAAAACTCGACTTATCTAACAAGTAATGTCTGTTCAAGTTAAAATAGTTGTGAAATCTGTTGGCTAACGTAAAGAAATTTTTGAAAAATTTACCTCAGCCATATTTGCGGTTTGTCGATCATTTATGATCATATTCTCATATAGCAAAAATAACAGTTTGATTATAATACTATTACTAGCTACTATATTGATAAAACCTTTCTACAAATTTTTCACGCCGATGGTGAAATTTCCATAGCTTGATCATTTATCCAAAAATTGTGAATTACCCTAAAAACGATTTAGCCGTCATAAATTACAATTAAAATTTCACTTTTGCATAAGCCTCACCTTCTCCAGTAATTCTAACACTTCTCCGAGCGATTCCTTTTTCTGCCAAGAAAACAAAGTAAAGTTTTACTACGATCGTGGAAAGTGTTCAGATGCAACAGTTAGGATCCACATAGTTGTTTCCTGCTTTGACACTGCTAAGAGAATCCACGATCGAGACCAAGAAGCCAAATCAACTGCACTTACCCTCCACCTGGAGAAAATAAGACCCATGACGGAGCCTATTCACAATCGTGATGCTTCAAGGGCCGCTACCTCCTATCCATACCCTCTGATCAGGAAATGGACTCAAGACAGGTCGCGGCGGGATTTGCGGCGTTGAAACACATCATCTGCTCATGCGCTATCAACTCTTCCCGTTGGGGTCCCCGTCGGAACCCGTTGGTAACCCTGTTGAGGTAAAATCTGGACTGGACTGTCAGGTGGACTTTGATTAAGAGTGGACAGGAATGACTGCACTCTCATCCTAAAACGACCTGTATTATGTCATAATAGCAAAAGCAGGCTTTAAATGGGCGTAGAACATTAAAAAAAACTGATTGAGGAGATACAGATGCGTATGATGGATAACAGCTTATGGTGCCACAATGGAGACAGAGGAGATTCAAAATGATGGTGATGATTTTAAGATATTAAGAGGAAAAAAGGGGAATTCAAAGGAATGTGAAAAACATCAAAACAAAATAATTTCCTCTCTTCCCAGTGAGTTGTCACCTGTATTATTGCCAAACATCCACCAAGCCAACTAATGGCATCCACCTGGTAAAATCAAGTGCGAGGGTGAAAAGCACAATTGTAGCTAGGGAGCAACAAAACAGTGGTCTCTGAACAGGCTAGACTAAATGGTTTGACTCTGTACCCTTCAGGATTATTCATACCAAGGAGCCTGTGAGGGGGAGGGGACTTCATAACACTTTGCATAGGATAAGACTGAACAGATGATGCCTTTAAATCCAAAATAACAATAAACAACCTTAGCACCAAACCAGAATTGTCTATTCATAATGCAGGCTAGTAAATGGATAACAGGAAAAAAAATTATTACAATAATTATCATCTTTATTGAGTAATTAATTGGAGGCAAGATGAAAAAACTTCCCTTTCAATTTTCTCTGTACAATTACAATAAAACAAACAAACATCAAAAGATGCTCACACAATAATCTAAGCAAAAAAGGGCCTCAAGATTTTCCACAAAAATCCTGTATCTAGCAATTTTTTGTCTTCTTCTCTCCTCTAAAAGAGATGCTTAAAGCCAATGGAAAATTTAATTTGAATGATCAATTAAGGATTAAGGAGGATAAATTCACAAATCAACATAGATTATCTGCAAAGGTATAATTCTAGAGAGCACCACCTAAAGACAACCTTGAATTGTAGTATAGATAGCCAATTAAATATACAGCTTCATAGATACTTTATTATACACAAGTTATAAGATTAAAATAACTAATTCTCATTTTTGAGTGTCTTCTTTTCCAACATTCCTCCCCCATCAAATGAATATCTCGTGATATCAAAATTCCATTTTTCTCTTCTTTACCAAACTACATAACAAAAAAGACACCTTGAATTTATGACTGTAACGGGGTATTAAAGGAGACCCATAAAAATGTTATCCCTAAAGGCTGTTCCATAAATGTTTCTGGTCCTTAACATAAACCCGATTTTATACAAAAAATAGACTATGTAATAACCTACTACCAACCAGCTGTTGATAATCTTAACTATATTCCTCATAAAAAATATTTTAGAATGTGATGTTTGTTTCCATCAAAAAAACCTAAATATTTTCAGCAAGCATCAATGGCAGCATTAGACACTTCCTTCTTTATCAAGTATTCAGTATATACCACACAAATGAATAGTTCTTTTCATGCATGCTGATTGGCCTGTTTGGGGGTGAATAGCAAGTACTATTCACCTCCAAGATGCTGGTGAGACAAAATCATGCATCGAGATTAATTTCCAACCTTTTTTTCGTATATTGAAAGAGACAAACTAGTATTTTGGTATATGTGTGGTATATACTACAATAATTATTCATTTCAGCGTCATTGAAAGTGGTGGATATTTACTTTGCCACTTTGTGGCCAGGTAAGTACCCACCACTATTCACCTCCATTTGGTAAATAATTGTTAATTATTCCAAAGGAAGTGCCTCTAAAATGCACAATGCTTCTGACCAGTTTATCAGGCTTTACTTGAAGGTTTATGTGCGATCATTAGCTGCAAGCTTAGCTGATTTCTGAATCCTTTAACCCCCATAAGTGACCAAGACACAATTTCTCCTTGCAATATTTAAACAATATCAAGACAGCAAATGATGAGAATTAACAGAAAAAATGTCAACAAGGGATTATCAGTGAACTCAAAGCCTGTCACTTAAGCAAGATTCTAGCTTTCATGTAAAGCAGTGTCTGTAATCAGCTAAACCTCTGATTTTGAAGTTCTCTTTCAGTGCCAAACTTCTAGTTACATTTTATAATTGGTTCACCAAATGAGACGTCTTGAATCAAAGACAAGCTTCCACATAGTTTCCTGGAAAGAGACCAGTAACGCCACTTTCTGTGACACCCTCAAACCAACCATCATCGTTTTTCTTGACAACATAAATGATCACTCCTTCGTCGAATGTGAGTTCATCATCTCTCTGTTGAGCATAGCTGTACAGGGACACCACTGAAAGAATGAAAAACAGCAATAATGTACACAACACTTGATGTGTTGTCAACTATGATCTACCAAAATACTTAAGACAGTTGAACTGTTGTGGTGCATTTTAAAAGCTCAACTCTCAGGTGTTAGCTCTTTGTGTGAGTAAACAAGAGAATTGCAGATTTTATGCATGTTTAATCATTGGAATACAGAGTAGCACTACAGAGCATGAGATTAAGCATAGCTAGAGATGATTCATACAAACAATAATTGATCAGCATCTAATTTCTCCTAACAACATCACACGTGAATCAAAATTAAGGCTATAAAAATATAGGGAATGCCCACCAAGTAAAGAATCTTTTGATTGTTAAACAAATTCTCCTAGTCAGTACCTTAGAAATTGAAAGGAACAGTATAGAGAACATGCATACTGATGTTAGAGTGTAAAGGATTCAAAATGTCCTGAATCACCATCGTTTACTCAGTTCCATTCACTTAACATACCTTTCTCAATATAGTTATCAGGAACACCAGACTGTCCCTCCACTGGTGGGGGTGGCACTTGATACAAATCGTCTGGTGGTGCAGGCATGGGAAGGGATGATGGGGCCTGGTAAAAGTCATCTTCAGAGGGTGGGGGTGGGGGCAAACCCATTGCATCTGAATATCAAGAAAACAGTTTAATTTATGAACTTTATAAGATTTGACTTTGAAAAACAAAGAGTTTGGAGCACTGATAAGGCTTTAAGCTTTCAGTTGACAAGACTGCTTCCTTACCAACCACAGATTCGTAAGTGCTCCCTCCATCAACTTCTGATGGGGGAATCAAATCTGAAATGACAATAAGGAAAGCCATAACTAAGAAACTCTCTGAACAAGATCTAATCTTTAAGCGTAAAGAATGAGACTTTTGTGCAAAGAATGAAGACTTTTGCTGAACCAGTACCATCCCTCTTCATTTACACTTGCTTCTGTTTAACAAGACAATTTAAAGATATTTTTTCCAGTTGCTATCTGATGTATAAAATGAGATAAAAGTTGTCCTCAAATAAATGCACACTGAAAACTCTAAAGAAAAATTAATGCAAAAGCAATGTTAAATCAAGTAAATGCAGTTCTGTAAAAATATATTTACCTGGTGGAGGAAGGTTCATTGCACCACCATGTGCATTCAAAGCTGGAGGAGGGGGTGGGGAAGGTACTTGTCCTCCCATACTGGGGTAGGGAGGAGGGGATACAAAACCAGGGAGTGGTGGTGGAGGTGGTATGCCAGTGGGTGATGGAACAGAAGGCATTCCTGGGGGTGGAGGGGGTGGGGGGACTATGGCACCATCACCTGGCAATGATGGAGTAGCAGGTGGAACAGGCACAGAAGGAGGAGGGGTTGGACCTAGTTCTGAGGAGGGAACAGAAGGAGGCATTGGTGGAGGAACAGGAGGAGGTGGAGGCTTAATAAGTGGTGCTCTTCTCGTTGTCCCTGCAACTGGTTGGCGCTGGCTCCCCCTGTTTGCAGCTTGTTGCTGTTGTGGCTTCACTTTCTTGCTGCTTTGACGGCGCCGGCCATCTTGACGATCACTTGTCTTGACTCCATGCCCTGCAAAAGACAAAGCTCTTCAAACATTTCTGACACACAAATTTGATTAAGCAGAGAACTAGGCATTTGACAATTCCAAGATGGAAAATTCAAGCAAAAAAGGTGGGCCAAAAACATGAATTGTCACATTCACTTATTCATAGAGTTTTCCCTTTTTTATACAGATTAAAGACTGTCCAACAAATCTGCCAAAAACCAAAATTAAAGCCTCTAAATTTTTATGCCAAATTGTACTTAAGGTTAATTTTACAAAAAACTATTTACCTAATTTATCAAGCAGGGAATAATCAGTTGTTCTTCTGCTGTATCTGACAGGCTTCTCTTGCTCAGCTGGGGCTATGATTCTGTGAGTGCGTCCAGTTGATTTGCTTGATGCTAACACACCTATCTCCCTTCGAGCCACTTTCTCTTTGTGAATGTCAACAGTCTAACAAGACCAATACAATGGTTGGTTAAAATCACAAGGGCATAGCTAGGGGGTCCTGGGATGCCTGTGATTTCCCCTTTGTGAGTTAGACAAACAACCAATAATATTCAGGTGGAAAAAACTGGTGCATACCCTCTGCTTGACACAGTGTAATCCCCCTTTTAAAAAATCTTGGCTATGCCCCTGAATTACTGGTAATAATTGACTGTACCATGAGAATTTCAAACATAGACCATAAACCATGCCCCCAATTACCATGCCTTAGGCATGATTTTAACTGTGAATCAAAAGACAACACAGCCCTAAAAAGTTTGCCCATATGTAATCACTGTAGTGGATAGGTAAGATGCTTTTAGGCTTTCAGAACCAAGGTGTCTTACAGGAGTTATAACTACACAAGCCATGAACTCACAGGGTTTTAGAAGCCTATAACTTATTTGATAAAGCCTAAAATAAAACAGTAAATAAACAGGATACCCGTAACTGGATAAGCTTTGTGTCATAAGATTTTTTTTTGTTCCCCACTTTTGTATCCTTTTAAAGAGTTCTACAAATTTTTTATTTTCTTTAGTACATTTTTGTACAAGTGATAGTGTTGATGTTGAATGATCTAACATTGAGTTGAACCTAAGATTGTTGAAGAGAGAGCACTGTAAAGAAATTTGCCTCCACTCTTCAAGAAACCTTTGCAATATAGTCAGAAATGTTCTGAACTTCTTTGGAAATTTTCTAAATTCTACGGATATGTTCAGGTTCAATCCAAGAACATACTGTGGGTGCCATATAAAATCCAGTGTCTTTAGAAAAAAATTTGGCAGGTATCAAAACAAGGTTTTTCAATCATCATCCATGTTTATCCACTGAAGAAGGATGTTACTCTGATGGTAATCCTCTCTTTCCACAGGAAAAAGTTGCCAAATAAAAAATAAAATTTAAATAAAGTTTATCACATACCTTTTAAAAACGAATAATTCTAAGCTGGTTTAAATTCACATTACAAGTAATTAATTGGTATGAAGAGGTCACTTTCACTGTAATGGACATAGTTTTGCATCTTGAAGCAACATCAGTTCAACTTTATTTACATTTCGTGGTGTGTTCACTCCGGTTTTGATTTACTGACAAACCTATAGGTATATTTAACATACCTCCGATATATGATTTATCCGCGACTCCATTTCCTGTAACTTCAAAACTTGTTGATCTAACAGGCCAAGCATGTTCATAGCTAAGGAATTTATCTGATAAGCTACACTGGCCAGGGACTGCGTCGCGAATTTTTTCGTCTCGTCGAGAACAGCCCTTGACTCCTCGAGCGCTTTCGCCCTGTCTCCGCCCGATTTAAACCGATTGTTTGTCTCCAGATATTTCTTTTCGCAGTATTCTGCTACCTTAGCCAGATTTTCATGGCCATCTCTCAATGCTTGTCGTCCTTCGGGGATTTCTTTCTCAATCAGTGAGAGAAGTAAATTTTCAACCTCCGCCATCTTTGAATAAATTTAAAGCATGCTGGGTAAATTAAAGAAAGGGGTGTGTTCAAAGAAATATTCCCACGAGACAAAATATTTCATCGTTGTTGTGGCTTTTTGTTGGCGTTGTTTGGTTCCCTATTTTGTTTTGTTTTTGTTTTTGTTTTTTTTTTGGGGGGGGGG